CTGTTTTCTCCTCCACAGACGCTGCCAGACCTGCTGAGCTTTTCCAGCAACTTTGCTTTTGTTCCTGATTTACAGCATCCACAGTTCTTTTGGTTCATACCTTTCCCATAGCGTGGTGACCTGAACTGCAAGCACTATGCCATCTGTGGCCTAGCCAATGTTTTATAAAGTTGCAACAAGACTTCCTTGCTCCTATATTCTCGACCCTGGTAATGAAGGCAAGCATCCTGTATGGCAAGTTCCTCACCCTGTCAACCTGTGCTGACACTTTCAGGGATATATGGGCTTGTACATCAAGGTCCTTTTGTTCCTCAGTACTGCCTAAGACTAATCATTCATTGTGTATGTCCTTTCTTTATTAGATCTCCCAAAATGCATCACCTCACACTAATGGGATTAAATTCCATCTGCCATTGCTCTGTCCAATTTACCAGCTGATCAATATCAGATTGTAACCTGATACCACCCTCCTCACTATCAATACACCACCAATTTTCATATCGTCTGCAAACTTACTAATTATACCTTTGACATTCACATCCAAGTCGTTACTGTACATAACAAACAGCAAGTGTCCCAGTACCAATCCCTGTGGTGCACTTGCTGGTCACAGGCTTCCATTTATAAAAACAACCCTCCACCATCACCCTTTACTTCCTATTAATAAGCCAGCTTTGCATCCAGCTTGCCAACTTGCCTTGCATCCCATGGGCTCTATTGGACCAGCATGCCATGTGAGACCTTATCACACCAAGTCACTGACTATTTAAGACAGAGATAGTTAGATTTTTGATTAGTAAGAGATCAAAGACTACAGGGAGGAGACGGGAGAATGGAGTCGAGAAGCATATCACCATGATAGAATGTTGGAGCAGACTTGATGGGCTGAATGGCCTGATTCTTCTCCTACATCTTATGAATTTATACTATGAAAGATTAAGAAATTTACCAATCATAGAATCCCTACAGTGCTGAAAGTGGCCATTCAGTCCATCAAGTCTGCACTGACCACCCCCTGCACCCCCAAAGATCATCCCACCCAGACCCCCATCCTGTCCCAGTATTTACCATGGCTAACCAACTAACCTGCACATCCCCAGGCATTACAGGACAATTTGCCCTGGCCAATCTACTAACCTATATATCTTCAGACTGTGGGAGGAAACTGGAACTCCTGGCAGAAACCCTCGCAGATTCAGGGAGAACATGCAAATTCCACACAGACAGTCACCCAAGCTCGGAATCAAACCTGGGTCTCTGGAACTGTGAGGCAGCAGTGTTAATCACTGAGCCACCATGCTGCCCAATGGATATGGATATGTTGGTGAATGGGCCAGAATTTGGCAGATGGCGTAAAACATGGATAAGTGTGAGGTTATCCATTTTGATTGGAAGAATAAAAAAGCAACTTATTATCTAAATGGAGAAAAATTTCAAAATGCTTTTGTGCAGAGGGATCTGGGTATCTTTGTGCATGCATCGCAGAAAACTAGTGTGCAGGTACAGCAGGTAATAAGGAAGGCAGCTGGACTTTTGGCATATTTGCTAAAGGAATGACGTATAACAGCAGTGAAGTGTTGTTGCAATTGTATAAGGTGTTGGTGAAATTGCATCAGGGTACTGTGTATAGTTGTGGTCCTTTTGATTGAGGAGGGATGTTCTTGCATTGGAGACTGTTCATAAGAACATAAGAGCTAGGAGCAGGAGTAGGCCGTCCGGCCCTTCGAGCCTGCTCCGCCATTCAATAAGATCCTGGCTGATCTTTTCGTGGACTCAGATCCACTTACCCGAGTTCTCACCGTATCCCTTAATTCCTTTATTGTTCAAAAAAAATCTACCTTATCTTTAAAAACGTTTACTGAAGTAGCGTCAACTACACCACTGGGCAAGGAATTCCATAGATTAACAACCCTCTGGGTGAAGAAATTCCTTCTCAGTTCAGTCCTAAATCTGCTCCCTCTAATCTTGAGGCTATGCCCTCTTGTCCTAGCTTCACCTGCCAGTGGAAACATCCTCTCTACTTCTATCTTATCTATTCCCTTCATAATTTTATATGTTTCTATAAGATCCCAAAGACAGTTCACAAGATTAATTCTAGAAATGAAAGGGTTTGTCTTACGAAGAGACATTGAACAGTTTAGGCCTATACTTGCTGGAATTTGGAATGATGAAAAGAGATTTAATTGAGGTATATAGATGTTAAAGAGGGTTGACATAGTAAATGTAGAGAGGATGTTCCCCCTTATGGGGCAGTCTTGAGCAAGATGTCACAGTTTTAGGTTAAGGGGTGGCAGATTTAAAATGGAGATGAAGCCGAATTCCTTCTCTCAAAGGGTCGTAAATCTGTGGAATTCAGTACTCCAGGGTGCGGTGAATACATTTGAGGAGATGGACAGATAATTTGTCGGTAACAGGTTTTGTGATTATGTGGAATGGGCAGGAAAGTTAAGTTGAGGCTGAGATGAGATCAGCCATGATTCTGTTAAATGGCTGAGCAGGCTTGAAGGGCTGAATGGCCTACTCCTGCTCCTCGTTCTTATATTTCCAGCATTTTCTGCTTTTATTTTAGAAGTCAATGACAACTTTATTTGATTAACCTTTTGTGACAATAGCTAAAAACAAACATGTAATAGGAATCCATGACTTTATAAATAACACCACAAAAGTATGAAAGATGAGGTGTATGCCAAACATTTTGAATAAACTGGTTATGCCCCAGCTGGGGTATTGCTCTGTTTTTGAAGTCTGGACAGTGAAGGATGGAACTGAAGCCTAATCTTCATACATTGTTAAACTTTTATTCAGAGGTGTATTGTTTTGTTCTTTCATGCCATGTGGGTATTTTGGCAAGGCCAACATTTGTTATCCATCCTCAATTGCTCTTGAACTGAGTAAAGGGATATGACTGAGGGACACTTGTGATGTCAGGGACTAAAGGAACTGGGATTACTTTCCTTTGATTAATTAGTTGGTGTTGTCCTTTCATTTCTTTCAGGTTTGTTCTGATAGATACACCTGGACAAATTGAAGTATTTACCTGGTCAGCATCTGGAACCATCATCTCAGAAGCTTTGGTAAGTATGTGTGTCCTTGTATATCAGTTACTGAAGGTAAGCATGCAGGTGCGGCAGGTGGTAAAGAAGGCAAATGGTATGTTGGTCTTCATAGCAAGAGGATTTGAGTACAGGAGCAGGGATGTGTTGTTGCAATTAAACAGGGCCTTGGTGAGACCACACCTGGAATATTGTGTGCAGTTTTGGTCTCCTTATCTGAGGAGGGATTTTTTTTTGCCATAGAGGGAGTGTAATGAAGGTTAATCAGACTGATTCCTGGGATAACAGGACTGATGTACGAAGGGAGGTTGAACCGATTAGGATTATATTCATTGGAGTTCAGATGAATGAAGGGGGTCTCATAGAAACGTAGAAAATTCTACCAGGATTAGATTTGATAGATGCAGGAAGGATGTTCCCGATGACAGGGGAGCCTAAACCAGGAAGTCAGAGTCTAAGGATATGGGGTTGACCATTTAAGACTGAGAGGAGGAGAAATTTCTTCACGCAGAGTATTGTAAGCCTGTGGAATTCTCAGCCACAGAAGGCCATCAAGGCCAAACTACATTATGATTTCAAGAAGAAATTGGATATAGCACTTGGAACTAAAGGGATCAAAGGGTATGGAGAGAAAGCAGGAACAGGCTATTGAGTTAGATGATCAGCCAATATCTAAAATAAATGGTAAAGCAGGATTGAAGGATCGAATGGCCTACTTGACATAATTTCTATGTTTCTGTGAACATTCTTTCCTCTGTCACTCTCTCAAAAACATGAATAATTTTTGAAGACTTCAATTAGCTCACCTCTCAGCTTTGTTACTTCAAGAAGAGACCCAGCCTAACCATCTATTCCTGAGATGTATAACCATGCATTTTTCATATTGGCCTTGTAAATCATTCTTTAATAACTTTATAACCAGAACATTATGGACTAAACAAGATTTGATGCATAACCTTGCTACTTTTCAATTTCATACCTTTAGAAATAAAGGCTTTGTTTGCTTTTCTAATGGCTTTGCTAATCTGTGCTGCAACTTCTAGTGACTTGCTATAATTTGGTTCCGAGATACCTGCATTCCTGTAATCCAGCTGGACTTGAATTCTCTAAATAATGTGTCATTTATTCCCTAAGGTGTATAACACACATTTGTGTTGGAAATGATTTGCCAATTAATTTTCCATTCTTGTAGTTTTTTAATGTCCTCCTATAATTTGGTGCAGTCCTTTTGTGTTGAATATCTCCAGCACCCTTTTCCTATTCCAAGATGATGTCATCTGCAAATTCAGAAATCGCATTTTTAAGACCAGACTTCAAATCATTAATGTAAATTGTGATCAGCCATGGTCCCAAACCCAATTTTACACAGCATTGCCTCCCATCCTGTGCTCTTTGACACCTGCTCTATGTTCCCACTGTCTGCTTTCTGTTTTGAAGCCAGCCAGAGTTCTGTCTGCTGTGCGTTCTCTAACTCTACGATCTCTGATCTTATTCCTTCATCTATTACGGGGCACCTTATTGAAGGCCTTTTGAAATCCTGCATTACCATTGTCTATTTTCCCTTTTGAAATGGACGCTGACTACTTATTATTGCATTTCTAGAGATTCTTCTGTTCTCTCCTTTAGTGATGCTTCCACTATTTTTCCTACTCAGTGACAGGGTAAAGAAGGATATTCTACTTCCGTTAGTTAGTATGTCAGTAACTAGGGGTCAGAATTTCAAGATTATCAGCAAGAGAACTAGGAGAGAGATGAGGAGAAACTTCTTTACTTAGAGAGTTGTTAGGATTTGGAATGCACTGCCTGAGAGAATGGTCAAGGCGGATTCCACAGAAGTTTTCAAAACAAAGCTGGATATATATTTGAAAATGATGCAGTTAGAACTGGAGAGTGAAACTAGCTGAGTAGCTGTTTTGAGAGGCAACACAGACATGATGGGTTGAATGGTCTCCTGTACTGTACAATTCTATGACATCAGAAATATTGTTCTAGTATTCGCTAAAGATGTTCTGATTCTCTTCTAGGAATTAACATTAGCTATCCACCAGTCCTTTGTCACTGCACTTTTTCTAATGAAAGGTTTTCTAACAAATGGGGTGAAAGGGGTAAAATAGGCTGAGGATGGTTGAGGAATTACCCTGGGGATATTGGGAGGAAGATGTGTCCATGTAGATAGGTTTATGAGGAGAAAGTGTGTTGGGGGACTGGGGATAAAGGGGAAGATTCATAGGTGGAGCTTGGGCAATGCAATTGGAAGTGGGTCAGTTTATGTTAGGAAGGTTTAGTTGTTGGTGATGGGGATATTGGGGTAGGAGAAAGTTGCTAGGTGAATCGGTGGAGTCGAAGCCGCCTCCTCCTAGGACAAGTTCATAATCTAGAAGATCTCCCAGGACGGTGTTAGAGATATGGGAGATGACCTGAGGGCAAGTGGGTGGGTTAGCTTGATCCCCAATCGTCTTACCACAACAAATCCATCTGCATCTACATGCTGTGACAATACTATGCCTTTAAGAGGTGTATTTTGTCCTGGCTTTTTGTGAAGAGAGGTTGAGACAGAGGTCTGTTCTAGAGCTGAATGGTCTGTTCCAAGCCAATAAAATAACAAACTTGTGAGGCCCTGGGGTTTTTTTAAAAGTTGGAAAAATAGAAGCAGCATGAATGGATGGGGTCAAGTTCCCACAGAACCAGGATTTTAGTTTCAGCTTTCAGTAGTTGCTGGGGTCTTGAAGCTGAATGTGGAAGCTGTTATTCCTTTCTCTGCTACAGTTGAATGCTTGTGTTCTCCTCCTGCAGCTAGAATTGCATGACAGGCAATCTATTTTACTGAATTTGCCTTTGCCAAGGGTATGTTTATGCGATGTTATTCGGAATAGTTGCTATTTAGTAATTAAATCATCTATTATTCTGTTAGATTTTCTGATAGATTTAAGTTATTCCAATTCTTCTTTCTTTTGTTTTTATTTTAACTGTAGTGTAAGAATTAAATGTGTTTTTCTTCAAAATGGATAGTTTGACCAATCGAATTGCATCCAGAATACAACGCCTTACATTTGTCATTAAAAATAAGAAAATGTTAGGGTCTAGGCTACTATCTTAATATATTTTGAGGGGGTTTGGTCAGGTCCTTAACAATGCCTCTCCTGTCAATATCCCGTACCTGCCTACATAGCTTCTATACTCCAGCAACTCAATGCTGTTTTCCTCCTATAAATCTGTCAATACTTCTTCCTCCTAATGTTCCCAGGCTCTGCTATATCTGCAGCTGTACCCACCAATATTTTTCCACATTTTAGTGAGAGCTTAAAACCTAGCAACCTTCCTGGTGCCCTGCCTTACTCTGGGTATTAATGTTGGAAAGTAATCCTGACTGTTTCTGTCTGTTATATTAACAATGATCTTCTTCACAGGCCTCCACCTTCTCCACAGTTGTTGTCTATGTGATGGATACGTCACGCAGCACAAACCCAGTCACCTTCATGTCTAACATGCTGTATGCATGCAGGTATGTTCCCAGGCTCTCTGTTGAGGGAGTAGTTGTCACTGTGCTATCCACTGATTTGGATGTCAGGCTGGAGAGGGACCTGTATCCATGTTTTCAGATAACTGTAAAATAAAAATGATAATGAATAATTGAGGACCAAAGAAAGCTATAAGAGGACTTGGTAACAATAGTAAATTGGGCAAAATCTAACAGTTAGAATTCAATGTTTGTATATTAGGGCAGCTAATGGCTTAGTGGTATTAACACTGGACTGTTAATCCAGAAACTCAGGTAATGTTCTGGAAACACAAGTTCAAATCCCACCATGGCAGAGTGGTAATTAACTAAGTGATTATTACACAAGTTGAGTTGACCTTTCTGCACTGCATATTACATAGTTCACACTTGTCAAAAGAACATGGTACAGTTTCTGCGTCCTTCATTGTCTCTGTCATTTTCCATAGGATCCTTGTGTGTATTCTGTCAGATCTCAAAACTGTCCATTTTGTTACCTTAAATATGTCCTTTCAATTTATTGCAATCTTTGTTATCTTACTTTTAGCCAATTCAGTAGCGGTTGCAGAACATTCTTGGGGGGGGGCGGTTGGTGGCGGTGGCGGTGGCGGTGGTGGGCGCTGGTGAACACCCAGCAGTCATGTTATATGTTGGGGGTCAAAAAAGAAATAAGGCCCTGCAGCAGGGGTTTAAAGACTTAGGTGGTAGATTAAAAAGGAAGACTCTAGGTTGTAATCCCTGCCACACACTACTGAGTATAGGAATAAAAAGATGAGACAGATGAAGGCATGGCTAACTGGATGGTGTGGGAGCAAGGGTTTTTGATTTTTGGATCATTGAGATAACTTCTGGGGTAGGTGGGACCTGTACAAGCTGGATGGGTTGCACCTAAACTGGAATGGGTCCAGTATCCTTGCTGGGAGTTTACTCATCCTGATGGGGAGGTTTCAAAATGATTTGGTGGTGGTGTGGAGCACAGAGTAGATGTAAATTCAGGAGCAAGGCTCAGTCAGATATAGAAGGAATGCCAGGACAGTCCAGAAAGCAGAAAAGACATAGGCAAGATAAGGTACATGAGATGTGGGTTATGAGGGATGGATTGCATGCTAAATTGCCCATAGTGTTCAGGGATGTGTAGATTAGGTGGGTTATGAGGGATGGGTCTGGGTGGGATGCTCTGAGGGGTGGTGTGGACGTGTTGGGCTGAAGGGCCTGTTTCCACACTGTAGGGATTCTATGATCTATGATCTAGGTCTAGAAAGCTAAATTTTATCTATTTGAATGTAAGGAGCTTGACTGGCAAGGCAGATGAACTTAGAGCATTGATCAGCGCATGGGAATATTATAGTGTTGCAATCGCTGAGAGATGGTTTAAGGAAGGAAAGGACTGGGAGCTTAAAATTCCTGAATATAGAAGTTTCAGGTGGGGTAGAGGGAAGTAGGTAAGGTGTGGGCATTGCATTATTGATAAAGGAAACCACTACTGCAGTAATGAGGGAGGATGTTGCAGAAGAGTCATCAAATGAGGCCATCTGGGTAGAGCTTAGAAATAAACAAAGGAGCATTTACCTTGCTGGGATTATACTATAGGCCTCCCAACAATAAGAGGGAGATACAGGAGCAGATATATAAGCAAATTGCAGAAAGGTGTGAGAGAAACAGGGTTAACAGTTGTAGGTGACTTCAACTTTGCTAACATTAATTGAGATCGCCTTAATGTGAGAGAATCAGACAGGGAATTTTTAAAGTGCATCCAGGGAAGCTTTTTAGTGCCAATATGTAGATAGTCCTCCTAGAGCTGGGGCCATGCTACACGTAATCCTCGGGAATGAAGCAGGTCAAGTGGTTGGCGTTTCAGTGGGCAAAAATTTTGGGAATAGTGATCATAACCCTGTAAGTTTCAAATTAAGTAAATTTCATTATGGAAAGGGATAAGCATAGTGCAGAAATTGTGTCTACACTGGGGGAAGGCCAATTTGAATGTCAGAAAGAATCTGGCAGAGACTGAGAACAGCTACTTCCTGGTAAGTCTACATTTGGAACGTGGGAGTCTTTGAAAGGCAATAAAGAAGAGAATTTAGGGCCAGAATGTTCCTGTAAGAATGAAGGGTAAGGGCAGCAAGTCCAGGGAACCCTGAATATCAAGAAATATCGAGAGTTTGCTAAAGAAAAAGGAGAAAGCATGTCAATTAATATAGATGATTTGGAGTTGGGGACCACGTGTAGGGTGTCAAAGTTTGTAGATGACACTAAGATGAGTGGCAAAGCAAAGTGTGCAGAGGACTGAAACTTTGCAGAGGAACATAGATACATTGAGTGAGTGGGCAAAGGAATACAGATGGAATACAATGTAAATAAATGTGAAGTCATACATTTTGGTAGGAGTAATAGTAAAAAGGATTATGGTAAAAAGTTGCAGCATGCTGCTATTGCAGAGGGACCTGGGTGTCCTTGTGCATGAATCACAGAAGGTAGGTCTGCAGGTACAACAAGTAATTAGGAAGGCAAATGGAATTTTGTCCTTCATTGCTAAAGGGATTGAAATAAAAAGCAGAGAGGTTATGTTGCAGCTGTACAAGGTGCTGGTGAGGCCACACCTAGAGTACTGTGTGCAGTTTTGGTCTCCTTACTTGAGATAGGATGTACTGGCACTGGAGGGGGTGCAAAGGAGGTTCACTAGGTTGATTCCGGAGTTGAGGGGGTTGGCTTATGAGGAGAGACTGAGTAGATTGGGATTATATTCATTGGAATTCAGAAGATTGAGGGGGGAACTTATAGAAACATATAAAATTATGAAGGGAGTAGATAAGATAGAAGTAGAGAGGATGTTTCCACTAGCAGGTGAAGCTAGGACAAGAGGGCATAGCCTCAAGATTAGAGGGAGCAGATTTAGGACTGAACTGAGAAGGAATTTCTTCACCCAGAGGGTTGTTAATCTGTGGAATTCCTTGCCCAGTGAAGTAGTTGACGCTACTTCAGTAAATGTTTTTAAAAAAAAGGTAGATTTTTTTTGAACAATAAAGGAATTAAGGAATACGGTGAGAACGCGGGTAAGTGGATCTGAGTCCACGAAAGGATCAGCCATGATCTTATTGAATGGCGGAGCAGGCTCGAAGGGCCAGACGGCCTACTCCTGCTCCTAGTTCTTATGTTCTTAGGTAGAGCACATGAAAATAGGGGAGGCCTTTCTAAGTATAGAGTGTAGGGAGTTGGTTAAAAAGGAAATTAAGAGGGCAAAGAGGGGTCACAAAATATGTTTGGCAAATGGGATCAAGAAAAACCCCCAAGACTTTTTAAAATTAAGAGTAACAGGATTACCAGGAAAAGTATGGGACCTATTAGAAACCAACCCGGCAATCTTTGCCTGGAGCCAGTGGACATGGGTGAGATTTTTAATGAATACTTCTCATCTGTATTCACAGAGGAGAGAGACATATTGTAGGTGGGGATTTCATTTGGAATAGTGAGGTTCTGGAACACGTTATGGTTCATAAGGAGGAGGTGTTAGACATGTTAACAGTCATGCAGGTGTGCAAATCCCCAGGGCCTGATGAAATATGTCGCAGGCAGCTATAGGAGGCAAGAAGTGAGATTTCCCGGGTCATAGCGGAGATATTTAATACTTTGCTGGCCACAGATGAAGTGCCAGCTGATTGGAGGATAGTTAATGGGGTTCCTTTGCTGAAGAAAGGCAGCAGGGATAGGCCAGGTAATTAGACCAATCAGGCTGACATTAGTGTTTGGGAAATTGTTGCAAAAAATTCTGAAGGACACGATTAATCAATGTTTGGAAAGGCGGAGATTGATCGGGGTAGTCAGCATAGGTTTGTTCAAGGGGGATCCTGTCTAATTAATTTAACTGAGTTTTTTGAAGAGGTACTTAAATATATTGAAGAAGATAGTGCAGTTGATGTGGTTTACATGGACTTCAGTTAGGCCTCTGATAAGTTCATACATGGAAGGCTGATGCAGAAGATAAGAGCCCATGGAATGCAAGGCAAGTTAGCAAACTGAATCCAAAACTGGCTTATAAATAGGAAGTAAAGAGTGATGGTGGAGGGTTGTTTTTGTCATTGGAAGCCTGTGACCAGCAAAGTGTACCATGGGGATTGGTGCTAGGACCCTTGCTGCTTGTTCTGCACAGTAACAGATGTCCAAGGTATGAAAATTGGTGGTGGTGTTGATAATGAGGAGGATGCTGTCAGGCTAAAGTCTGATATTGATCAGCTGGTAAATTGGGCAGAGCAATGGCAGATGAAATTAAATACCAATAATTGTGAAGTGATACTTTTTGGGAGATCTAATAAGGAAAGGACATACACAATGAATGATTAGTCCCTAGGGAGTACTGAGGAGCAAAGGGACCTTGGTGTACAAGTCCACAGATCTCTGAAGGTGTCAGCACAGGTTGATGGTGGGGAAGAAGGCATACAGAATGCTTGCCTTCATTACCGGGGCATAGATTTTTTTTTCTTTATTCATTCAAGGGATGAGGGTGTCACTGGCCAGGCCAGTTTTTTGCCCATCCATAATTGCCCAGAGGGAGTCAACCATATTGCTGTGGGTCTGGAGTCACATGTAGGCCAGGTGAGGTAAGGATGGCAGTTTCCTTCCCTAAAGGACATTAGTGAACCAGATGGGTTTTTCCAACAATCGGCAATGGATTCATGGTCATTGTTACACTCTTAATTCCAGATATTTTTTGAATTCAAGTTCCACCATCTGCTGTGGCGGGATTCAAACCCTGTCCCCAGAATGTTATCTGGGTCTCTGGATTAACAATCCAATGATAATACCACTCGGCCATTGCCTCCCCATAAGAATATAGGAGCAGGGAAGTCTTGTTACAACTTCATAAAAAATTAGTTAGCCCATAGATCGGAAATTGAGTGCGGTTCTGCTCCCTACGTTATTGGAAAGATGCGATTGCACTGGAGATTGTGCAGAGGAGATTAACCTGGATGTTGCTTTGGGTGAAAAGTCTCAGTTATGAAGGGAGACTGGATAGGCTGAGGGGAAATCTGATTGAAGTATCCACAATTATGAGAGGTATAGACAGACTAGATCATGAGAATCTCTTCCTCATGGCAGCTGTTTCAAAGGGCATGAGTTTAAGGTGATTAACAAATGGTTTAGAGGAGATCTGAAGAAAAAGAAACTTCACCCACATGGTGGTAGAAATACCAAATGAGAGGCTGGTGGCGGCAGGTATTCATAGAATCACTGAATTCCTACAGTTCAGAAGCAAGCCATTTGGGCTATTGAAATCACACTGATCTTCTGAAGAGCATCCCGCCCTGACACTCTGCCCTATCCTATTCCTGTAACCCAGCATTTCCAATGAGTAACCCACCTAGTGCTGTCCCAACATTTCAGAAACATCTGGATGAGCACTTAAAATTGCAGGGCATAGTAGGCAATGGACCAAGTCCAGGTAAATGGAATTAGTGTAGTTTGGTGTTTGTGGGTTGGCATAGATGTGATGGACCGATGGGCCTGTTTATCTGCTGTGTGACTATGACTGCTGTTTATCTCCAAAATCTTGTTTCCTTTCCTCTTGCCCCATGTCTCATTTCACAACTCATTTACACTGATATGTTTATACAATCCTGACTCTTCCTTGTCATATTTGTCTCTTGTCATTCTTATTCATTCTTTACTTTTTTTTTCTTAATCTCATGCACCATCACCTGTAGGAGCCATATTTGATCATTAATTTTAGTTTGCTTGCAACCTCTTTATTTGTCCATATAGTCTGAAGCTTGAAGTCATGTCATTAATTAACACCATGATGTGGAGGCATGGGTGTTAGACTGGGGTGGACAAGTTAGAAGTCACACAACACCAAGTTATAGTCCAACAGGTGACCCCATCATACTGTCCTGTATCTGTAAAGTCTTCCTTACTGTCCTGTTTTGACAGCATCACCTTGATAAATTGTTATGATTTCTTTACCTTAATTAAGTTTGTACAGTTTTGAATTCAGCATGTGATTCCAGTCATTTAGTCTGTCTCCAGCACCACCTTATTTTTAATATTTTGTAATTATTTCTCTGCCTCACTTAAGCAGATTATAGGTCATTCCTTCACTGGTTATTCAGCTGTTGACACTTTACTCACTGTCTAATGCTCTTGGCCACCTGCAGAGACTTATTACCTGACACTCCACTCACACCAATTCTATCTCTCTGCCCTCGATCGATCTGCCTATAAACTCTGGGTCTGTGTGTTCTGCTCTCTCACTGCACCTGTTGAAGGAAGGGGCTGCACTCTGAAAGCTTGTGTGATTTCGAATAAACCCATTGAACCATAACCGGTGTCGAGTGAATTCTGACATTAATTAAATATCAGCAATTTTTCAGTCTCCTCTATAACAATATTTTGTACCTCCATCACAGTCATGTTGATTCCTCCCTCACCTTTCTAAAACCTTCTTATGATTTAATCTGGTGCCCTAGTTTCTATTTAAATTATTTTCCTTCACTATTTTAATTTAGTACAATTTAAGAATTAGATTCCCAATGAATTTCCTTCTTACCTCAATAATTAATTCAAATCTTTGACAGCAGTCATATTGTTATTCCTAACCATTTCTTAGATTTTCCTCCCATAATATGGGGAACTCCAGAAAAACTCTGCCAGTCTAGCAATCCCTTTATATTTCATCTCTGTTGGTGTTGACTCTGTGTAAATCTTTTATTATAAGTGTGTTGGTTGTACGTTTCCTGGATGTACAATGGTTCTGTGAATTAAACTATAATGTCAATCTCTCCTCTTTCAGTATTCTGTACAAGACCAGACTGCCATTCATTGTCATCATGAATAAGGTAAGAGTCACTTCAGTCAGGCTGGGGCAATGTAGGGCTCATGCAGTGACCTTACCCCTCAAAGATCTGTGTTCAGAAATTCCCAATGATTAAAATCTCCTGCAAGACATAAAGTCATTGGGTCCAAGGTGGTCTCAGTCCAGTTACTCAGGATATGCAGTGGCTGGGGTTGGTTACAGTAAATACTGAGCTGTGTAATAGTGGGTCAGCATTTGAAAGGTGGATCTTGGCCACATTTAATCACAGTGTAAGGGGAGCTTTATTGTGTATCTTGCTGAATATTGTACCTATCCTGGAACTCCCAGGCTAGAAGTGTTTGATGGGTAGAGGGAGCTTTATTCTGTATTCTTGAGGTCAATATGGATAAGTTCGAGGTTATTCATTAGGGTTGGAAAATAGAAAGGCAACTTACTATCTAAATGAAGAGAAACCTCAGAGTGCTTTGGTGCAGGCGGATTTGGGTGTCCTTGTGCATGAATCACAGAAAACTAATATGCAGGTACAGCAGGTAATAAGGAAGGCAGCTGGAATTTTGTCATTTATTGGTAAAGGACTAAAGTATAAAAGTGGGTGTGTTCCTGCAATTATACAGACAGCTGAAGTATTGCCTACAGTTTTCGTCCCCTTCCTTGGGGAGGGATGTAATTGCATTGGAGGCAATTCAGAGATTCACTAGATTGATTCCAGAGATGAGGGGTTTGTCTAGAGGAGAGAGTGAGCAGTTTAGGACTATGTTCGCTGGAGTTTAGAAGAATGTGAGAAGATCTAACTGAGATATATATCTAAAGGAGATTGACAAAGTAGACATAGAGAGGATGTTGCTTCATGTGGGTAAACTAGAGTGTGAGATCATAGTTTTAGGATAAAGGCTAGCAGATTTAAAACAGAGATGAGAAATTACTTCTCTCAAAGGAATTGTGAATCTATGGAATTCACTATCTCAGTCTGTGGTGGATGCCAGGAGGAGGTAGATCATTAGTTAGTAATGGGTAATGGAGAGCAAGCAGGAAAGTGGAGTTGAGGTTGAGATGAGATCAGCTATGATTGTATTAATTGACGGAGCAGGCTCAAGGGGCTGAATTGCTGACTCCTGCTCCTGGTTCTTACCTATCTAAAAACATGCTGTCCCTGGGAGTGTTCAATGTGGGCAGTGTCAAAGGGAGCTTTACTTTCAGTTTAAAAGAGTAGACAGCACTTTACTCTTTATCTATCCTCATGCATTACCTGCCCTGTGGGTGTTTGATAATCACAGTATTGAGGGATCTTAACTTTCTGCTTAAAAGAGTAGAGGGAGCTTTATGGTATATTTGAACAGTTCTGTACTTGCCCTGGATGTATTTTTTGGGACTACACAGATGGAGTTTACTGTGAATCTAACCCCATGCTATACCTCCCCTGTAAGTAGAAAAATATAGGACAGTGCAGAGGAATAATTGATGGACATGCAAAATAAGTTAATTGGATTTGATGATGAGTGTTTTATGAATAATTGAGATGAAGGGATATGGAGAGATGGTCAGGGTATTGAGTTGAGGAGTATCATGACAAGGTGAGCAGTGATCATCATGGGGAATTGGATTCACGACTGATATTAGGGGAGGGAGGTATATAGCCACCACATGTAGATGTGGGAAATATGATGAGCAGGAAAATTAACATGTGAAGATGGAGCCTCCTGGACTCACTTGATGCAGGAGATGCCCTGTTGCTGTTACTGTATGCTGATTGTTACCCTGTTGCTGTGACTGTACGCTGATGGTGACCTCGTTGCTGTGACTGTACACTGATGGTGACCTTGTTTCTGTGACTGTAGATTGATATCGTGGATCATTCCTTTGCTGTGGAATGGATGAAAGATTTTGAAACTTTTCAGGATGCTCTGAACCAGGAGACGACATTTGCCAGTAATCTGACACGTTCCATGAGCCTTGTCCTGGATGAGTTCTACAGCCAACTCCGGGTAAGTTGCTTGCTATCTTCCAGTATATTCTGAATCCTTCTCCACTGTAATCACCACATTTCCAATTTTATTCTGTCTCACTTCATGTTAGTTGGGGATTATGTTCAGACTCTGTTTTCCTATCGTTCTCTAAAAGTAGTTTATCATAACTCTCAGGTTCGTGATTGTCATGAGCCAAGATGCATACAGAAGAGAGCAGAGAGCTGAAGGTCAAAGAAAATATGAGAACATCTGCTAACAATAGGAAACCCAAAAGTCTGTGTCCATAAACATAAATGGGCAGTTAAAAAGGGGTGCTTAGCATAATTCTATCCAGTGGCGAGTTTCACATAGATTCCCCATGACTTTACTTTTGCTAGTGTCACATACCTCTTAACATGGAGAATAACCGCCATTGTATTATGTGGTGTTATCACCATGCTAAATGGGATAGACTTTGAACAAATCTAGCAACTCAAAACTGGGCATCCATGAGGCGCTGTGGGCCACCAACAGCAGCAGAATTGTACTCCAGCGCAATCTCTAACCTCATGGCCCAGCATATCCCCCACTCAACCATTACCATCAAGCCAGGGGATCAACCCTGGTCTATGGAGACAGCACCAGGCATACCTAAAAAAAAGAGGTCTCAACTTGGTGAAGCTACCAAACAAGACCACCTGTGTGCCAAACAGCATAAGCAGCAAGTGATAGACAGAGCTAAGCGATCCCACAACCAACAGATCAGATCTAAGCTCTGCAATCATGCCACATCCAGTGATGAATGGTGGGAGGCAATTAAACAACTTACTGGAGGAGGAGGGTCTACAAATATCCCCATCCTCAATGATGGAAGAGCTCAGTACATTAGTGCAAAAGATAAGGCTGAAGCATTTGCAGCAATCGTCCAGAGATTAGGTGACAGTGACAGTGACAGTCCTTGACATTAAAGCTGCATTTGACTGAGTGTGACATCAAGGAGCCCGAGCAAAACTGGAATAAACGGGTATCAAGGGGCAAACTTTCAGCTGGTTGGAGCCATACCTGACACATAGGAAGATGGTCGTGATTGTTGGAGGTCGGCCATCTCAGCTCCAGGACATCTCTGCAGGAGTTCCTGAGGGTCGTGTCCTAGGCCCCAACCATCTTCAGCTGCTTTGTCAATGACCTTCCCTCCTCATAAGGTCAGAAGTGGGGATGCTAACTGATGATTGCACAATGTTCGGCATCATTTGTGACTCCTCAGATACTGAAACAGTCCATGTTCAAATTCAGCAAAATCTGGATAATATCCAGTTTTGGGCTGAGAAGTGGCAAGTAACATTCACGCCACACAAATGCCAGGCAACGACCATCTCCAATAAGAGACAATCTAACCACTGCCTCTTGACATTCAATCATGTTAGCATCCCTGGAGTTACCATGATCAGAAACTCAACTGCACTCACCACATAAACATAGTGGCTACAAGTCAGAGGCTAGGAATACTGTGGTGAGTAACTCACCTCCTGACGCCCCAGGCTTGTCCAGCATCGACAAGGCACAAGTCAAGAGTGTGTTGGAATACTCCCCACTTGCCTGGATGGGTAAAGTTCCAAGCTTGACACCATCCAGGATGGAGCAGCCTGCTTATTGGCACCACATCTACAAACATCCATTCCCTCCACCACTGATGCTCAGAGTGTGTACTATCTGTAAGATGCACTGCAGAAATTCACCAAAGATCCTTAGCGCCTTCCAAACCCATGACCACATCCCTCTAGAAAGACAAGGGTAAAAAATACATAGGAACATCCCCACCTGCAAGTTCCCCTCTAAGCCACTCACCATCCTGATTTAGGAATATTTTTCCATTCCTTCATTGTCACTGGGTCAAAATCCTAGAATTCCCTCCATTAGGACATTCTGGTCAACCCACAGCAGGTAGACTTCAACAGTTGAAGAAGGCAGCTAACCACCACCTTATCAATGCCAGCAATGCGCACTGTCCACACCGTCCATCACTTGCTGATGTTCAAACTTAGACTAACAGGACGGTAATTAGATGGATTGAGTTTGTTCTGCTTTTTGTTCGGAACATAAATGGGCAATTTTCCATATTGCCAGGTAAACGCCGTTCCTGTAGATACAGTGATACAGCTTGGCTAGGGATGTGGCTAGTTCTGAAGCACAAGTCTTCAGTATTATCACCTGAATATATTTGGAATCTGCAGCCTTCTCAGTATCCAGTGCCTTCAACTGTTTTTTGACATCATGCAGTGTGTATTGCGTTTGCTGAAGACTGGCATCTGCGATACGGAGTATCAGGGGAGGGGAGAGATGCACATGCTTCAGTCCTGCCTTTTGTATTGTGCAGGGCTCCCCCATCATTAACGATGGGAGCTTACTTCTTCAGTAGGTCATTGAATTGTTTACCATCCATCAGGGTTAGATAGATAGATAAGAACTAGGATCAGGAATAGGCAATTCAGCAACCTTGAGCCTACTCTGTCATTTAATACGACCGTCATGACTGGATGTGACAGGACTTTGATCTGATCCTTTGTTCTGGGACTACTTCTTTCTTTCTATAATTTACTGCTTTTGCTGTTCGGTCTATAATGGAAGTTTGTTTTGTAGCTTCACTATGAAGGCCTAATGTGAGGACTATGTCAAGACATAAGGTTACAGATTATAGTGAAATAGAACTGCTACTGCTCACGCCCCAAATGCCTTGAGGAAGTGCAGTTTTGGACTCCCATGTCTGACAGCTGCTCCAAGCTACGTGCCCTATAAAGACTAGTAGTTACAGGTTGCCCTCTGAAAATGCCTTCCTTATTCCAATTCTTTGACTTCTGTTAGTTAGCCAATCCTCAATCTATTGTGTTCTGAATAAGGGTCACTCGACATGAAGTATTAACTCTGATTTCTCTCCACAGGTGCTGCCAGATCTGCTGAGCTTTTCCAGCAATTTTCTATTTTTGTTCCTCAATCTATTCTAGTGTACTGCCCCCAATACTATGGGCTCTTATCTAATTAATAAGTACTCTTATTTGCAGTAATTATCGAATACCTTTGGAAATCTAAATATATTACATCAACTGATACCCTTTATCTCTCCTTGTTAGCTCAGAGACCTATAATGAATTTGTCAGGCTTGATTCCTTTTTATGACGCTGTGCTAATGCTGCTGGATTGTTACCCGGGTTTCTAAATGCTCTGCTGTTACTTCCTTTATAATTACATTTCCCAGCAACAGATATGGAAGCTTTGGAGAGGGTACAGAAGCAGTTTACCAGGATGGTGCCGGGTTTGGAGGGTATTAACTATGAAGAGAGATTAGACAAACTTGGTTTGTTCTGATTTGAACATTGAAGGATGAGAGGCGACCTGCTGGAAACGTGCAAAATAATGAGAGACATGGATTGAATAGATAGTCGAAGTCTTTTTCCTGGGGTAGAAATGTCAAATATAAGGGGATATAGATTTAAGGTAAAAGTGGATATGTTTATATCACGGAAGGTGTTAAGTGCCTGGAGTGTGCTGCCAGAGGAGATACTGGAGGCGGATACAGTAGCAGAGGCATCTTGATAGATACGTGAATAGGCAGGGAATATGGACTGCAGAGAGGGAAAAAGTTTTTAATTTAGAAAGGCATCATGTGTCACCATGGTCTTGTTGCGTCAAAGGGCCTACTCCTGTGCTGTACTGTTCTTGGTTCTAAACTAACTGGCCTGTAATTAACCTGATTTTTGTCTCCCTTCCTTTATAAATAAAAATGTTACATTAGCAGTTTTCCAATCTTCTAGGTTTTTCTTGAGCTATAATTTAGGTCAATGGTCAGAATCTGAGTTGCAAGTTTAGAAAGCTAGTTAAGAAACCTCATTTAACAGAAACTGGTAATGGCAGGATCAAATGAAAGTGTCCAGAGTAGGTTAATTACCGGAGCAGGAAGCTGGCTTAGTTATGATTGGGTATGTGCCAGCAGAAACAGATTTTGTGGTCGCACAGAGTGAGATGAGGAATAGGGATCACAGTGGATGCTACATAATTGATTGTATTTCTGGGTTTAGGCAGAAATTAGGGTATTAGAAATGAGAGGATGAGGGAGTGGATGGCAGTGTGGAGTTAAAGCCTGAAGTTAGCCGGGGTAATGATGAATGGCAGGTCAGGCCTGTCAGGCTGTGTATGGCCTACTCCTCCTATCTGTCTTGTACCTGGGAGTTGTACTGACTGCATAGCATGCTTAAGGAGCTGGGATAGTCATGGTGAGCCAAATGGCCTCCATGTAGTCTGTTAGATTCTACAATAATGAGCAGTACTGAATAAAGGGAGGAGCCACGAATCAATTCTTTGCTGTCCAGTGAGCTTTGCTGATAATTCTGTTGTGGGATCCGGCTCTGCAGTAAACCTCTCTCTCCCCTCGTTAAATATTGTGTTAGTATGTGATATTACCCTGGTATAGGGAGGTGAGGGTGGACTAACGGTATTCACTGAGGAGAGGGACATGACGGATGTTGGGGTTAGGGATAGATGTTTGATTACTCTAGGTCAAGTCGGCAAAAGGAGGGGGGAAGTGTTGGGTATTCTAAAAGGCATTAGGGTGGACAAGTCCCTCGGTCCAGATGGGATCTATCCTAGGTTTCTGAGGGAAGCAAGAGAGGAAATAGCTGGGGCCTTAACAGATATCTTTGCAGCATCCTTGAGCACGGGTGAGGTCCCGGAGGACTGGAGAATTGCTAATGTTGTCCCCTTGTTTAAGAAGGGTAGCAAGGATAATCCAGGTAATTACAGACTGGTAAGCCTGACGTCAGTGGTGGGGAAGCTGCTGGAGAAGATTCTGAGGGATAGGATCTATTTACATTTGAAAGAAAATGGGCTTATTAGTGATAGGCAGCATGGTTTTGTGCAGGGAAGATCATGTCTTACCAACTAGATAGAATTCTTTGAGGAAGTGACAAAGTTGATCAATGAGGGAAGGGCTGTGGATATCGTATACATGGACTTCAATAAGGCGTTTGATAAGGTTCCCCATGGTAGGCTGATGGAGAAAGTGAAGTCGCATGGGGTCCAGGGTGTACTAGCTAGATGGATAGAGAACTGGCTGGGCAACAGGAGACAGAGTTATAGTGGAAGGGAGTTTCTCAAAATGGAGAACTGTGACCAGTGGTGTTCCACAGGGATCCGCATTGGGACCACTGTTGTTTGTGATATACATAAATACTCTGGAGGAAGGTATAGATGGCCTGATTAGCAAGTTTGCAGATGACACTCAGATTGGTGGAGTAGCAGATAGTGAAGGGAACTGTGGGAGAATGCAGCAGAATATAGATAGATTGGAGAGTTGGGCGGAGAAATGGCAGATGGAGTTCAATCCAGGCAAATGCGAGGTGATGCATTTTGGAAGATCCAATTCAAGAACGAACTATAGGGTAAATGGAAAAGCCCTGGGAAAAATTCACACACACACAGATCTGGGTGTTCAGGTCCATTGTACCCTGAAGGTGGCAACGCAGGTCGATAGAATGTTCAAGAAGGCATACGGCATGCTTTCATTCATCGGATGGGGTATTGAGTACAAGAGTTGGCAGGTCATGTTACAGTTGTATAGGACTTTGGTTCGACCACATTTGGAATACTGCGTACAGTTCTGGTCACCACATTACCAAAAGGATGTGGATGCTTTGGAGAGGGTGCAGAGGAGGTTCACCAGGATGTTGCCTGGTATGGAGGGCACTAGCTATGAAGAGAGGTTGAGTAGATTAGGATTATTTACATTAGAAAGATGGAGGTTGAGGGGGGACCTGATTGAGGTCTACAAAATCCTGAGAAGTATCGACAGGGTGGATAGCAAGAAGCTTTTTCTCAGAGTGGGGGACTCAATTACTAGGGGTCACGATTTCAAGGTGAGAGGGGAAAAGTTTAATGGAGATATGCGTGGCAAGTTCTTTACACAAAGGGTGGTGGGTGCCTGGAACACGTTTGCCAGCAGAGGTGGTAGAGGCAGGCACGATAGCGTCATTTAAGATGTATCTAGACAGATACATGAATGGGCAGGGAGCAGAAGGATACAGATCCTTGGAAAATAGGCGACAGGTTTAGACAGAGGATCTGGATCGGCACAGGTTTGGAGGGTCAAAGGGCCTGTTCCTGTGCTGTAATTTTCTTTGTTCTTTGTTCTTTGTTCTTTGTTTAACTTTTGGCCTCTCGACTGTCCTCTAACTCCTGTTGTTTCTATCAGGTGGTCGGGGTTTCGGCAGTGGACGGCACTGGGATGGATGGCTTTCTCCAGCAGGTTGCTGATGCTGCGGCTGAGTATGAAACGTGAGCACAGAGATGATATTTGGTTGGGTGTTGATGAGATTGAGAAGAAGCAGTAACCCTACTCAGGGATGGGGTCCTAAACTCCATACATCTAGGGAGGTCCAAGGTGCAAACTTGGGCCTGGGTATTTGGGTGTCTAAACCTGGAAAATGTTAGGCCGAGGGTGTGTTGCTGGAGCTCCCTCTGACCTGGGTTGTAAGGACTGTCTTTATGTGATGGATAATAGGGAAGTGATGTTATGACTTTGGATAAAGAGGGTGTCTGTGCATGAGAGGCGTACAGGAGTTGTTTGTGTGTGCGCGCACTGGGGGGAGATTCTGGTTTTATTCTGATAGGCAATGGATTGTGTTGTTGGTTATTTAAACTCTGTTCCTCTCCCTACAGTGAATATCGACCACATTATGAGAGACTGCGACAGGATCTGGTGAGTGATCTGCTCTACATAGAGAGCAGGGCCTATTCCCTTCATTTTGCACCTTTTCCTTCATGGGCCCCTCCCTGAGTCTACTTAATCCATGGTTCTCTGCTGTGTTCCAGGCTGAGGCAGAGATGAAGAAGAAAGAGGAGCAGCTGGAGCAGTTACGGAGGGACATGGGGGATGTTGCCATGGATTCCAGCCACGTTCATGCTAATGGTAAGTAGGTCTAGGAAATGAGGAGGATGTTGTGGTGAATCATGTTGAAGTGAACGCACAAGGAGGGATTGTCTACCAAAAGAAACACATTTGTGATTTTAAGAGCCATTTTGACAGGACAGCAGGAACATAAAAACAGGGTTGTTGTGGTGGGTAATATAGACTGGGACTTACTTACTGCCAGGGGCTTAGATTGTGAGGTATTTGTTGGTTGTGTCCAGGGTGGCTTTTTTGAAACAGTATATAAATAGTCCAAATAGGGAAGGGGGCCATGCTAGATGTAGTACTGGGGAATGAGCCTGGCCAGGTGATTGAAGTTCCAGTGGGGGAACACTTTTGGAACAGTGACCACAATTTTAAGTTACTTATGGTTAAAGATAAGAGTAGTGCTCAGGTGAAAGTACTAAACTGGGGAAAGGCTAACTGCAACAACAATAGGCAGGACCTGGGGAATGTAGTTTGGGGTCAGCTGTTTGAGGGTACTTCCACATCTGACATGTGGAAGTCTTCTAAAAGCCAGTTGATTAGAATTCAGGACAAGCATGTTCCTGAGAACATGAAGGATAAGGATGGCAAGATTTGGGAACCTTGGATGACAAGGGAAATTGTGAGATTGGTCAAAAAGAATAAGGAAGCATTTGTAAGGTTTAGGAAACTGAAGATGGATAGAGCCCTCAAAGAATATAAAGAAAGCAGGAAAGAACTTTTTTTTTCAAAGTTAGGAGGGCTAAAAGGGGTCATGAAATGTCCTTGGCCAGCAGGATTAAGGGATATTGCAGGCCTGTGAGCCTTACATCAGTAGTAGGGAAATTGTTGGAGAAGATTCTTAGGGACAGGATTTACTCACATTAGGAAAAATGTAGACTTAATAGCAATAGGCAGCATGGCTTTGTTTGGGGAAGGTCATGTCTCATTAACTTTGTTGAGTCTTTTGAGGAAGTGATTAAGGGCAGGGTGGTGGATGTTGTCTACATGGACTTTAGCAAGGCCTTTGATAAGGCGGATACAGAAGGTGAAGTCACATGGGATTAGCAGTGAGCTGATAAGATGGTTCTGGAACTGGCTCAGTCATGGAAGGCAAAGAGGAGCAGTGAAAGTGTCTTTTTCTGATTGGAGATCTGTAACCAGTGGTGTTCTGCAGGGATCAGTGCTGGGAACCCTGTTGTTTGTAACCTATATAAATGATTTGGAGGAGAATGTAGATGGTCTGATTAGTAAGTCTGCAAATGACACAAAGATTGGAGGAGCTGCAGGTAGTGATGAGGATACATCAGGAAAGAAAGAGGCTGGAGACTCGTGCAGAGAAATGGCAGATGGAATTTAACCTGGGCAAATGCAAGGTGATGTATTTTGGAAGACCTAATGCAGGAGGGAAGTATACAGTAAATGGTTATAATGCCCTTCGAAGCATTAACATACAGAGGGATCTGGGTGTAGGAGTCCCCACAGTTCCCTGAAAGTGGCAACACAAGTGAATGAGGTGGTCAGGAAGGTTTTTAGCTTTGAAGAAAGATGTGGAGGCTTTGGAGAGGATACAGAAATGGTTTACCAGGATGTTGCCCGGTTTGGTGGGTATTAGCTATGAGGAGAGATTGGGCAAACTTGGTTTGTTTTCACTTGAATGTTGAAGATGAGGGGCAACCTGATAGAAGTTTACAAAATTATGAGTGGTGTGCATAGAATGGATAGTTGGAGTTTTTTCCCCAGAGTAGAAATGTCAATTACAGGGGGACATGGGTTTAAGGTAAAAGGGGGTAAATTTAAAAGAATGTGAGAAGTAAGATTTTTACACAGAAGGTGCTAAGTGCTTGGAATGTGCTGCCAAAGGAGCAGGTAGAAGCAGATACGAGAGTTACATTTAAGAGGCATCTTCACAGATAGACGAAAAGACAGGGAATAGAGGAATACGGCCCAGAGGCAAAAGTTTTACTTTAGAAAGGCATCATGTGTCAGTGTGGGCATGGTGGACTGAAGGGCCTGTTCCTGTGCTGCACTGTTCTTTGTTTGTTGTTCGTAATCCAGGTTGGAGGCACTCAACCATGGAGTTTTGGGAAAGATGAACATAGTTTTTGAGAGGCAGCTGTCATTTTCCCCAGGGTCAAATATAAATGAAGTAGATTTGGAAGGAGGATGGCTGATGTGGAGAGTAAATGATACAATGAAATAATCACATGGTCATATCAGTGAAGGAGAGGGGCAAGGCCATATGAGGTACAATGACAGATGGATAAACGGGATGGAAATTGGTCTATATAACCCTGTCACTCACCACTCAACCCCACATCTCTCACCCTTTCTCTGCCACTCATTCTTCCTTCTTGCCACGTTTCTTTGCTTCCAATCCATATTTCCCCTCCCCATGCATCCCCCACTTCGCTTGTGCTCTCTCTTTAGCATCTATTCCCCCTCTCTTGATCTGTCACTGTCTCTTTCACACCCAATCCCCACTTCATGCTTTTTCAGCTGCTGATGGTTGTCGTTGTGTCTGAATGTTTCTGGTGTGAGAGTTGGTACTAGGATTGTGCCAAGGTGTTGGGCAGCTGTTTCAGGGAGAGCACCTGGCATGAGGTGTGTGCATCTACTACTGATTGTGCCCTTTGTTCCTAGTGGATGAGCAGCGTGATGTGGAGGAAGGACCATCGGCCCTGATCCTGACCCGTGGCATCATTGATGAGGAGGACGAGGAAGTGGATTCAGACACTGATGACTTGGATCATCAAAGTAAGAAGCAAAATCAGGGAGTAGTCATCAAGCGTGAGGTTGACGTAGTGGTGTGATAGGGAGGAATTAGGGGAAGGAATGGGCTGTTGGGCAGTCTGTAGAGAGGCATTACCTGTGAAATGCCATGTCTCAGATGGTGTTCTGGTTTGGGTTCAGGAACTGTCTAGTTATCTTCCTGTGTTCATTATGAAGTCAGTCTGACTGTCTTCTTTTGGTGAGCAGAGGCAGAAGAACAAAGTGAAGAACCTGCCTTCCGAAGATACCTGGAGCAGAGAAAGCGCAAGAACTACACCACCACCACCAATGAATGAGAGGAGGTGGATGATTGGAACATGATGCCAAGCCAGGAAGAGTCACCCTGACTGAATATGATCACCCACCTGTGCCTCTGATGTGACCCTTCTGCTCGCCAGTGGGGTCCTGCGGTTTCTAGCTCAGAATCATGTTGGAACTGCTGACTCCGAACAAAAGTCTGTTCCTCAAGCTGTATAGGTCAAGCTACCTGGATCCAGTGTGGACAGTCTGCTTCCTGTCCCCTCCCTCAAACTGGGCGCTATCATCTTCTTTGACTGACATTTGTGAACTTAGACAAGAGAGAAGTCAAATCATGGATTTTGGGATATTTATTTAAGAAATAAAAGTTTTATTTCAGTAATGATGCAAGAATTTCCATTCTTTGTCCATGGATGGAGGGTAAGAGGACACATGAGTCTCAGCGGTGAGACAGCCAGTGTGGTGTCGTGTGTAGGTGCTGGCATTACCAAATGGCCAGCAGGAACACAGAGGATGTTAAGACAGAGGTGCGTTTTATTTCAACACTTTCAGGCTATACAATGTTGAATGCTGGGTTTGAGGATTTTTAGGGGTGGGGCGATGTGGATCCATTCATCATGGTGTTAGGGAGGAAATTTCAGGATTTTGATCCAGCAACACTGAAGGATCAACATTATATTTTCAAGTCAGGAATGTGTGCAGCTTGAAGGGGAATATGCAGGTGGTGGTGTCACAATGTCAGAATTTTTACAGAGTAGAAAGAGATCCTTCAGCTAATTTTGTGTGTGTGTGATAACAAGGTGTAGAGCTGGATGAACACAGCAGGCCGAGCAGGAGGAGGAGATGTGTGTGTGTGCTGGTCATCAAACAAGTATTCTCATCCCATTTTCTAGCAGTTGGCCTGTTGCCACAGCCTTTCAAGTGTTCATTTATAATGCTTTAATTTTAAAAGGTCTCATAATTCCCACTGCTACCACCCTTCCAGATACCCACAATCGTACGTTTTTATATTTTTTTGTTAAACAAAGGTATTAAGAGCTATGAGCCAAAGGAAAGTAAGTGGAGTTAGGCCACAGATCAGCTATGATCTCATTGAATGGGGGAACAGGATCAAAGGGCTGAATGGCCTACACCTGTTCCTATGTAACCCTGAGTAGGGGGAGAAAAGTCCTTTCTAAAGTCTTCTGTCTTTTCCCTTAAAATTGTGCCCCTTAGTTATTGATTCCACTATAAATGGGAAAGGCTGTTACTGTCTATTCTATCCATGCCCCTCAAAATTTTGTATACCTCAATCAAATCCCCCTCAGCGTTCTCTGCTCCAAGGAAAACGACCTCAGGCATTCTAGCCTCCCTTTATAGCTGAAATGCTCCAGCCCAGGTAACATCCTGGTGAAACTGTAGTGCATCCCCTTCAGTGCAGTCACATCTTTCCTATAGTGTGGCAACCAAAATTGCACACACTACTCCACATGGGGTCTACCATTATATACAAGCTCCATCATAACCACCTTGCTCTTGTATTCAATGCTTGACTAATAAAGGTGTGACCCATATGACTACTCAATCACCTTATCTCTCTGTCCACATAGGAACAGGAGTAGGCTAATCAGCCCATCGAGCCATCCTCACCATGCAATATGACCAGGCCTAATTGAACATTTAATGCGAATACCCACTCTATCCTTATAGCCCAGTATGGCACTGGTAATCAAAAATCTATCAATTACTACTTCTAGATGTACTCAGAAACTGAGTTTCCATAGACCTCTGGGGTAGAAAATTCCAAAGGTTCACCATCTGAATAAAAAGATTTCCTGTCATTGCGGCCTTCGTGATATTATCTTCATTTTTGTACTCCCTGGTTCTAGACTCCCCAGTCAGAGGAATCATCTTACCTGCATCTACCCTGCCTATCCGTTTAAGTAATTTGTAGGTTTCAATGAGATCATCTCTGATTCTTCAAAACGCAGGAGATCCCCAATCTCTCTTCAAAGGACAGACCCAGCATCCCAGGAACAAGTCTCACGAACCTCCGCTTTCCCTCCTTGTCAATAATATCTTACCTGAGATAAAAAGACCAAAATTGTACACAGTACTCTGGTGAGGTCTAACCACACTCCATGTATCTACTGCCCTTGTCTTTCTTCAGGGTCTTGAAAGCACTGTCAGAGGAATGTTGGTGAATATCTACGTAGACAGTTCAGTTTGTGGTCATTGGTAATGTCTAGGAAGGTGATGGAAAGTTTGGACTTGAGAGAACAGAAAGCAGCAAGTTTTAAGGGGGACAGATTAGAGGGAAGCAGGCAAATTGAGACAGTTGATGTCATGCAGGCATTCCTAATGGAAAGATCGGGAGAAGATGAGGGGCGAGAGGGAAAGATTGAGATGGGTTAAAGTTCCCTTTTGAGTTAGGGATGAAGCGTACACAAAGGTAAAAAGCGAAGTTAAGCATTGTGCCAAGCTTAATTCCTTAAGGATGGAAGGGGTGTTAAGGGGATGAAGTGGAGGGCTTTGTTGATAACATATCATTCTGAGTTAGAGAATATCATGAATACATGGCTAAAAGTACAATTGGAGGAAGGACTAGGCTTGGAGAGGAGTGAAGGTGTAGTAGGATCGAATGGGTGTCCTGTGAGTTGTTGAAGTGTGTAATCTTTCACACCTGATACTTTAACAAAAAGCTATCTGATGAGATGGGCCTGTGCTGGGGCATAAGATTTTTACAGTTTATATTAATGACTTACATAAGGGATGATAAATTTGTAGATGACACAAAAACATGCAGGAAAGTGTGTTGGGCACATAAGTTGAAAATGGATGTAGATATGTTGAATGAGGTAGTAAAAGTTTGGCAGATGGAGTATAACATGGGAGAATGTGAATTGTTTACTTTGGCAGGAAGAATTTTAAAAAGCTTTTAAATTTTAAACAGAATAGCTGCAGAATTCACAGCTGGAGAAGGGGTCTGGGTGTTCTAGTGCGTAAGTCGCAAAAAGTTAATATTCATCGTCATCGGTGGTCCCTTGGAGACAAGGATGATCCTCTTCCACTCTCAGGATGAGTCCTTAGATGACTGTACACACCGATACAGTTACCGCAGGTTCTGTTACACTTGGGGCAGGTAGTGATCGTGGGAATGAGTAGGTGGGGCATTGGTGTGTCAGTGCGCTGCTTTGGCTGTTTTTGCCAGGCTTCCATTTTTTTTTCCCGACTGCAAGTCTCAAGGTGCTTGACACCTTCCCAGATACTCCTTCTCCAGTTTGGACTGTCTTGGGCCAGTGATTCCCAGGTGTCTGTGGGAATGCTGCACTTTGCCAGTGAGGCCTTGAGGGTATTGCTGAAGCATTTCCTCTGTCCACCTGGGGCTTGCCTGCAGTTTCGAAGCTGGGAGTAGAGCACTGCTTGGGGAGTCTCATGTCGGTCATGCAGATGACGTGTCCAACCCATCATAGCTGATGGAGGGTGGTCAGTGTCTCAATGCTGGGGATGTCGTTCTGGTTGAGAATGCTGATGTTGATGTGTCTTTCTTCCCAGCGGATTCGCAGGATCTTGCGTAGGTGATGGTGGTACTGCTTCAGCGCCTTGAGATGTCAGCTGTAGACAGTCCACTTCTCAGAGCCATATACGAGGGTGGGAACGACCACAGCTCTGTAATTTATATTCAAATACAGCAAGTAATTAAGACTATTGGTATGTTTTGCTTTACAATGAGAGGAATTAAACATGTAGATTTAGGTTTACTTTTTGGATTTAGATTTTATTGTCATGTGTAGGTGATTCACTTTGGAAGGAGTAACAGGAATGCAGAGTACTGGGCTAATGGTAAGATTCTTGGTAGTGTGGATGAGCAGAGAGATCTCAGTGTCCATGTGCATAGATCACTGAAAGTTGCCACCCAGGTTGATAGCTTTGTTAAGAAGGCATACGGTATGTTAGGTTTTGTTGGTAGAGGGATTGAGTTTCGGAGCCATGAGGTCATGTTGCAGCTGTACAAAACTCTGGTGCGGCTGCACTTGGAGTATTGTGTACAGTTCTGGTCACCGCATTATAGGAAGGATGTGGAAGCATTGGAAAGGGTGCAGAGGAGATTTACCAGGATGTTGCCTGGTATGGAGGGAAGGTCTTATGATGAAAGGCTGAGGGACTTGAGGCTGTTTTTGTTAGAGAGAAGAAGTTTAAGAGGTGACTTAATAGAGACATACAAGATGATCAGAGGATTAGATAGGGTGGACAGTGGGAGCCTTTTTCCTTGGATGGCGATGGCTAGTATGAGGAGACATAGCTTTAAATTGAGGGGTGATAGATATAGGACAGATGTCAGAGGTAGGTTCTTTACTCAGAGAGTAGTAAGGGCGTGGAATGCCCTGCCTGCAAAAGTAGTAGACTCGCCAACTTTAAGGGCATTTAAATGGTCATTGGATAAACATATGAATGATAATGGAATAGTTTAGGTTAGATGGGCTTCAGATTGGTTTCACAGGTCGGCGCAACATCGAGGGCCGAAGGGCCTGTACTGCACTGTAATGTTCTATGTTCTATGTGTACTCAAGTACAGAAGTACAGTGAAAAGTGTATAATGGCGCCATCTTAGGTACCAAGGTACAAAAAAATGTAGGTACGTAGCAGTGAGAGAAACGGGAGTTAAAAAGTTAAGCATTACTTCATAGAATAAGTAGAAAAATAAAGAAATGAGGTAATGGTTAACACTAATGTCTTTCATAGTTTAAAGTAGGAAAATAACAGAATAAGTTAAAAGTAATACGTTAAAACATAAAAAGATGATGTTATAATACAGTTAAACAAAGCATTGGTGAGACCACAGCTTGAATACTGTGTGCATTTTGGTCTCCTTATCTAAGGAAGCGTGTCAGTGTGTGGAGGCTTATTAGGTGAGGTTTACTAGATTGATACTTGGAATGAGTGGGTTATCTTAGGATAGATTGCACAAGCTGGGCTTGTTTCCACTGGATAAAAACCTGAAAGAACTGCGGATGCTGTAAATCAGAAACAAAAACAGAAATTGCTGGAAAAGCTCAGCAGGTCTGGCAGCATCTGGGGACAGAAATCAGAGTTAACGTTTCGGGTCGAGTGACCGTTCATCAGTTCAGAGAACGGTCACTGGACCCAAAACGTTAACTCTGATTTCTGACCACAAATGCTGCCAGACCTGCTGAGCTTTTCCAGCAAATTCTGTTCTCTTTTCCACTGGAGTTTACTAGAATGATAGTGACTTGATTGAAGTGTATAACATCCTAAAAGGTTGTGTTAGGGTAGACATGGAAAGGATGTTTACTTTTGCTGAATTAGGGGACACTATTTAAAAACTAGTTGTTGCCCTTTCAAGACAGAAATAAGGGCATTTTTTTTCTAAGGTTGTGCAAC